AGGAGACAGAGGAGGTCAGGAAAGGAGACAGAATAGGTCAGGAAAGGAGACGGAGGAGGTCAGGAAAGGAGACAGAGGAGGTTAGGAAAGGAGACAGAGGAGACAGAAAACATCAGGAAAGGAGACAGAGGAGGTCAGGAAAGAAGAAAGAGGAGGTTAGGAAAGGACACAGAGGAGGTCAGGAAAGAGACAGAAGAGGTCAGGAAAGGACACAGAGGAGACAGAGGAGGTTAGGAAAGGACACAGAGGAGGTCAGGAGAGGAGACAGAAGAGGTCAGGAAAGGAGACAGAGGAGGTCAGGAAAGGAGACAGAGGAGGTTAGGAAAGGAGAGACAGAGGAGGTCAGGAAAGGAGAGAGAGGAGGTCAGGAAAGGAGACAGAGGAGGTCAGGAAAGGAGAGAGAGGAGGTCAGCAAAGGAGACAGAGGAGGTCAGGAAAGGAGACAGAGGAGGTCAGGAAAGGAGACAGAGGAGGTCAGGAAAGGAGACAGAGGAGGTTAGGAAAGGAGAAAGAGGAGGTCAGAAAGGAGACAGAGGAGGTCAGGAAAGGAGACAGAGGAGGTCAGGAAAGGAGACAGAGGAGGTTAGGAAAGGAGACAGAGGAGGTTAGGAAAGAGACAGAGGAGGTTAGGAAAGGACACAGAGGAGGTCAGGAAAGGAGACAGAGGAGGTCAGGAAAGGAGACAGAGGAGGTTAGGAAAGGAGACAGAGGAGACGCCTCACCTTTCCTCCGCTCCTCTTTCTGCCCAAGGCGGAACAGGACGCTCTCCGGCCTCTGATTGGTCCGGCAGGAGGCCACGCCCCCGGGGCTCGGGTAGGAAGGCGACTGATTGGCTGAAAGGAAAATCAATTAGTCAAATGGACCAATCAGAAGGAGTTAGAGATGTGAGAGTGAGAGAGTGTCTCACCTGTAGGAGAGAGAGCGGCCCGGTCCTCTCCCTGCACACAACAACACACATTATTAATAACAACAACAACATGTTCAGAAACCAGCAGCAAGTGTTGGGTTGATTCAACATGTTACACATAGTGACACAGTTTTCTAACTGATATTTTTGGGTAAGATGTGTGAAATATTCAAATGTTTGGTTGTTTGTTTATTTTATATAATGATTTAGTTTTACTAGATAGTACATTTACTTTTAGATTTGTTGAAGATGTCAGTTATTGATCATATTTTTTAATATATGTGATTTTTAGTATTTTTTTTGAATTGTCTGTCAGTACTTTTTGAGATGTTGTTCGTAAAGTCGTTTATTTTTATTTTTTTTACGTTTTTAGGTGTTAGTAGATTTTTGGAGGTGAGGCCAAACTCTTACCATAAAGAGGGCGGAGTCATCTGTGTGGGTGCAGCGTCTGGAGGGGTATACAGTCTGAGGACAGACAGGCAGACAGACAGGAAGACAGACAGACAGGCAAGGGTTAAAAGGTGGAGGGGAGTCGCCTAAATCATAGTGGGCGGAGCTAAAACAACCAAAACTGGATCTAACCAAGCCCCCAGGAAGTGCCCCAGACTGAGGAAAATATCCGTTGTGTCTGTAGCCTCATCCCAATACCCCTCCTCGACTCCTCCTTTCCCTCACTCGCGTCCCTTCCTTGCATCTTAGCTCCGCCTCCGTAAGATGCGAGCGAGAGACACGAGGAGGTGACAGCTGTATCCCCTCTCATGGGGCTGAACTGAATAACCCTTTAGAACCGGCCCTATCTGGTTAAATATGTATTTAAAGACCCTGTGACACGAGTTTCCCCCATCATCCAAACCCATCAATTTGAGTAAATATTGTCCCCTTGAAAACCGTGACTGAACTGATTTTGGATATTTGTACTTTGATAACCATTAATCTTTCCTTCAATGTTGACCATTTCCTGGATCTTCTCGGGGATTCTTCAAGTCCCGCCAAATGATGTGTGACGTCTTTGCGGGCACAGCGCTCCAGCTGCACCGTTCAGGATCCCAGCATCTGCATGTAAACGCACGATGGCGCACACAGCAGCAAGCTCAGACAGCGATGACAGTTTAATTTTGAACGTGTCTGAGAGCTCATATGAGGCTGAAGGATCGGTTTATTTTGTATCTGTTAGAAGTTTAGGAATTAGGTGCGTCAATATGGGCGATCATACGGTCATGTAGCCAGTGGTGGACTGGGACTACAAATCAGCCCGGGTCTCTCGACCGGCCCACTTCGGTACCGCTAGTACACTGTCAACGGGGGGAGTGGGGGATGTGCTAGGGACTTATCCGACCGGCCCACTTCGGTACCGGCCCCAGTCCACCACTGCACCCAGCCCAGCCCACGTAAACTGTCATCGGGGGGAGCCTCGCTGCAGGGAAACCTAGTGGACCTAGTGTCCCGATCGGAGTGGGAATAATAATAATAATAATAATAATAATNCTGATGGCCAGTCCACCACTGCACCCAGCCCAGCCCACGTAAACTGTCATCGGGGGGAGCCTCGCTGCAGGGAAACCTAGTGGACCTAGTGTCCCGATCGGAGTGGGAATAATAATAATAATAATAATAATAATAATAATAATAATAATCTGTGCATTTTTTCC